AAGTAAGTGAGCTGGTGCCCCAAACCCAAAGGGACAGTACCTGGTCGTACAGTACGTGGGGTGCTAGACCCCCCCCCCCCCGTGCTGGGAGGCCCGCCGCTACCTACCATTACAGCCTTTAACCTTCCTCGGGCCCCGACACGCACCGCTAGCCTTTTGGGTGGTTGTCTCAACAATCAATGGAGGAGATCCACAAAAGCAGGGCTCTTTCTCCACCAGCCATCCAGTATTCGGCAAGCGAGCAAATGAGCACCTGCCCTGACCTGCTCCTAGCACAACTTCTGCGGGCACGAAAGGCGAAAAGCAAGAAGGGCCTTCGAGGAACCTGTGTTACGAGCAGGAAGTACAGAGAGGTTTGTCCTGGTGCTTTTGTAGGGAACTAGGCTTCTCTGACTTAGAAATTTATTTCACAAGCACAGGCTTTTCCTCTGAATTTATCCATTGCTTTACCGCAAGACCTCCAACCCTCCATAGGCATTGGCCTGCAATTCCCAGAATCCCTCTGCATAGTGAAGGGGATTCTGGGAATTGTGCTCCAACGCATCTGGAGGACCTCAGGTTGGATGTGTGACAGAAGGCCCTCTGGGTGCATTGAGATCCTAGTAGCCCATCCAGGACTCTTCAGATCTTTACGTATAGCAGCTGCTTATTGCTGTATATTGGGGGTCATAATTCACTGCTGCATGGTAGCTGGTGGTACCTTTTGACCCTGACCAGCTGAACGGATGGTATGGAAGAATGTTCACTAACATTTCAACTGCTCAGGGAATACAAGCTGAACATAGACAATCCAGCCTTAGTGAGGTGAAGTAAGTTAGCTGCTGCACCAAGACCAAACGGATAGGAAGTTGAATTACCAGCAAAATGTAGATGCAGGGTGCTGTGGGAAGGGTGTTGGCAGGGGACTGAAAAATAAAACCTGAGGGAAAGGTGATTGGAGGAGAAACAAGCATTATGCTTTTGTTAGAGGTGGGTACACTGCAGCCCAGAGGCAGTGGGATAGGACAGTGGTGCAGTTAATTTGAACCAGTCCCCCAATTCTTTGGCTGTAACTTTCTGGTAAGAAAATATTGCAGGTGGAATGTTGTGGAATTCTATTTTTCCAACCACAGGCTCACAAGTGGGTCTGGAAGGGGGGAATTCCTCCTCCAAGCAATCACACATAAGATGAAACACTCCTTGAACATGCTTTACATTAAACATTTTACACAAAGCCAGCAAAATACATGCATCCCCCAACTTTCTCCAGCCAACAAAATGACCATGGGAAGTCAGGAGTAACCAAGCATAATACTCCCAGATGAGGCCTTCCATTTGCAACCCTCACGTTTTCGCACTGCTGCTTCTGCCTGTATACTTACTGGAGGAAAAGCCATTCAGGGAAAGAGAGAAGCCTACAGGTCCTATCACCCCCAGGCAGCATAGCAAATGTGTAAGATCGTGGGAGTTGTATCTCCTCAGATCTTTTGGAGGAAAAGTCCGTTCCTGGTTTGGAGCATTCTCTTAGAAGCAAAGGCTTAGGCTCTCTCACCTTCCATGATCTGTGTGTGCAAAACCTCAATACCTGGGGCAATTCCCCTCCCCCAGCACTTGCTCTTAAGAATTCATCCAGTGTACGAGCCAAGCATATTCTTCCCCAGTAATTTCTGTATAAATCCACATTGGGCCAAATAATTAACCCACCAACGTAAAAGACCGGCAGGAAAAGCCACTCCAAGAAGCAAATGCTTGGAAGGCAATGCAACCTGATCAGGATTTCCCAAACCTGATCCTGCTGGTGGTACCAACTCTGACAGCTATCCAAGATTATGTGCAGAGGATCATTTGAATGGAAACTCTTAAAACCTGAACCTGAGGCCTTCTACTTACTTCACTGTATAGCAAGGAAACCGACTGGCTACTCCATCTTTGGATGTAGAAGCTTGACGACCCTTCATCATAAGGCTGAAAAGCTCAACCCTTGCTGAATCAAAGGATGTAGAGGAGCCTTCCCCAGCCTGGTGACCTTCAGAGACATTTGGACTGCAACTCCCAGAATTCCCATCCAGCAGGGCCACTGACTAGCAACTCTGGGTGTTGCAGTCCAAATGTGTCTGGAAGGCACACTGCTGGGTCAGGCTGATACAGAGCTTGCAATACTGAGGACGAAAAGATTCACTAAAAAAGAGAGCGTAACTAACAAGATAATTAAAGTTGGAACAGGAAAAATGTAAATGCTGGCTGTGCCCTAATAGAGGAGGCCAGGGTTATGAAGTAGGTGTGTCGATAAGCACAGAATGAGTCAAGAAATGTAAACATGCCCAGTTTGTTCCAGGACAAAATGCAAATACGCTTACGTGTTCCAAAACAAGAAATCGCAAGTTTTTCAAGAGAAGTGGGTCATAGCAGCAGTTAAACTGTTACCTTTACCTTGATTGGTTATGTCAAAAGTGTATAAATGAGTGTTAAATTAGGACTGTTCTTTGTTATTACCTCTCAACGGCATCAACCTTTTGCACGCAAGGTAAACTGCTTCTGTGTGGCCAACACCCCAAAATCAAACCAGGCAGGAGGCGCAACCATTGCCTGAGGTGGGTGTAAAATCAGATTCCAGGCCATTAGAAATTAAAAATGATCAGTAACCATTCCTTTTGGCCACTGTAGTTGCTTTTTCCCTAGGGCAGTTTAATTGGTGGGTTCCTGCTCAAGTTATATTCTCATTTTTGCAGTGGCTTTGGTTCAGGCACTTTTTAAAAAAACGGACCGTGACTTTCCCTCTTTTCTCCTGTGCTTATTAATAAGTACATGTCTGACTACCTTGCGGGAAGCTTCTGAAACAAGGCAGGCTGAGATCTGAAGCGCAGCTCCGTTGCCCAGGTCTTCCTGCCCACATTTCCACCAGGTTTTGCTTCTACATTCCCGCCACTTGAAAAGGCTGCTGGCTGGCCCAAGGCCCTACTTCTGGAAGGTGGTCCATCAGATGGAGAGTTTCCTACACAGCCCATGGGAGCCCCAACACGGCACTGCAAAGGGTTACTATGTTAAAACTTGCACGCATATGAAACCTTTCATAAGATACTAGCTGGACCACTGGAAGTAGACCAACGCAAGTCTCGTTTTATTACAGTGGGATAAAAATAAATGGCTGCCATTACTGGAAAGCTCTCTCTCAAATGATTCAACAGACCTCATAGGAGGTCGGTTTTCAAAGCAATAGCAGCGGGCGTGTTTTCAGGAACACGATGTCTAGTGATGTACACATAAAAAGCTTTTCAAAAACATCCACACACCTATTACTGAACAAGGACACTTTAAGAAAGCAGGACTACGCAAAGCTACATTGTGGTTTAGAAAATGCAGTATCGTGCTTACGATGTGCTGCGTGAGATGGCACCGATAGGCCAGCTCGCTAGCATCACAACTCCATCCAGAATCTCCAGCTTTAAATTGTGGCCCTGAAACGCAGCACAGCACCAAGCCCGTGAAACAATTATCTTTTGCCAGGGAAATGCCGGAAGCTTGAGTTTTGGGACTCAAAGCTTTATTTTCAAAGCAAATCAGTCCCATGTGAACGTACAACCTTCCCAACGCCCCACATTTCTGCTCTAGTTTAGACTGTAACTGCAGCCTCCTGTTAAAGAGCTTAAAGTCTTGTATACGTGGAACTGCAGCCAGCCCTATTCATACTGAAATTCCATTAGTTTCAGAGGGACTATCTGAGGTATGGCCAAGTCCAGGTCCAATTCACGTCTGCAGCAAGAATGTTCAAGTCTGCTAGTGGGAAGAACCCCAAAGGAATCAATGATTACCTCATGGTTTGCAGAGGCTAACTGGAATTACTACCGGATACAATCCTTTATAAGCAAGTTGAACAGGAGTACATGTAATACGCACTGGATAAGCAAGGCGCTTAAAAACATACAGAGCTTTGTAAAATAAAACGCCTTTTTGCTTCACTGAAGGAGAAGTTCAGCAGGTGATTGGAATTCAGTATCCATCTTCCCCAGCTTTTAATGGCAAGACTGAAAAGGTGAACTAAACATTCTGAACACCTTCAGCTCTACTACCCCAGATCCATTTGAGTAAATGAAGGATGCCCATATGTTTGATGAACCTCTAGTGACAAAGGTCTAATAGTTTCATGAGTCATATTCTTTTTAATTGCAAAGGAAAAATGCATTTTAAAATTACAGCTTTTGTCTTAACAAAAAACATACCTATTGTAAACATTTACGAAATGTACAGCATCTCAAAATTATAGAAAGTTAACAAATTCAGGTATCACTACTACAGATGCAGTCAGCACTTCCCTCCACTATTCTACCCAGTTATTAGAGGGCTATTTCTGCTGTTAAAAAGGCATTATTCAGTATGAAAATTTTGTACACATTGAAATTTTGATTTACAAATGGATATTTATCAGCTGAATCAAAGCAGTAGATCAAAATTAAGTACTCCGGAATTGAAAATGAGTTTTTGTAAACCAAGAGTTTGTCATTGTTATGACCTTTTTTTTTTTGGTATTGAAAGTGAACTCTGTCTTCCATTCTGTTATACCTACAATATTAATTCTTAACAATATTAACACAACACCACCACGGAATCCAAAGCTGGAAATGGGAAATCCAACCACCTTCTCTCCTCTACAAATCACAGTAACTGCACTGGCTGAGTGGCAGGTCCCTGGTGAAATTATACCCAATTCGTCAGGGTGAGCAGGCATAAATTAAATAGGACAAAATGCCTGCCTTTACAAATTCAGGAGGCCAAAAGACCTTGTTCCCGGCATCCCTTACGTGGATACAGAAATGAAACGGGACAATCTAGTATCACTTTTCAAGTCTCCACATACTTGTTCTAACTTAAGAAAGAGCTAGAAGCCTAGCACCTCAGCCTAAGTATTTTATATATATAGTTTTGTAAGAACCCTCACCTCTGCAGCGGCACAGTATGATCTGACACAGACTGCCGAGCGCCAAGCCAGAAGGCTTGTCTTAACGCTTTTTATCCAGCTGGGTTCGCGTCCTGGTTATGCTGTTGGTGTGCAAGACACCATTGAACGGGTAGATCGGTTTTTAGGGTTCACTTTTAAAGTACTACATAAACGCCAGACTTGTAGCAGTATTAATCTTCACAGCTGCATGACTGCCATCATATTGGCTGAGAAAGGTAAGATGCCACCTGTCAGCAAAGAGATTGTTCTGACGCAGCGGCTTTCTCTCAAGACACAAGGACACCTGCAAATCCAAATCCATGTGAACGGGGCCTCACGCTTTGGAAACGGAACGGCAGGAACCCAGTGGTGGCTGCCAGTGCGCAGCACAAGAAAACGCTGCGCAAAGTTGCAAGGCCTCACCTCACTAGCATTCTTCAGTTTTATTTGGGACATGGAAAGGAAGTTTCACACACTGCAGTGATGTAAAAAAATACTCCTGGGAAACAGAATATTTTCAATGTTTTAGCTGTATCTGCTGCTTTCACTGGGGCTTCGATTGTTAGAATAACTGCGGTCACTTTCACTGTCAGAACTGTACGATCTAGAAGAAAATCCAAAAAGCATGTCAAGATACTGCTCAACCGTCACGTTTTCACATTAAGTACAGACTTCTGCAACAATTCTAATTTCAGACAGAGGAAAAATGGAAATATAGCTTGTTAAATACATTCTTCAAAAAAGATTGCTATTACACGCACTGAACATTGTAATATTCAGTGGGGCTGTGCCTCTGGCAGAGCGGCCCCTCTCCTTGTTACTTTGTTGAGCGACACCACCCTCCCCCTTGAGGTGTGTGATGCACAGAGACCACGAAGAATAAAGGCAGGTTTCCTTACCTGCAACTGTCGTTCTTCAAGTGGTCATCTGTGCATTCACACACACACACACACACACACACACACACACACACACACACACACACCATCCCCGCTGGGATCTCATTCTTGGCACAGGCTACACTTACTATTGATGTGACCGGTATGGCGGTCTCAGTCTAGATCATGCTAGGCGCATTGGAGGCTGGGCCTGCCGATACTAATCAATCAGCTTTGGAATCTTCCTGAAAACAGCTCCACACATGTGTAAAGAGCCCACGTGAATAATGCACAGAGACCACAAAGAATAGTGACAAATTTCAAATTTTAAGACTTAGAAATATGTCTCGCTCCCTTATTTTCGTGCAACTCTGGTAGCAGGATGGATTTCACAGAAAGTTGTGATGTTATTAGTGCACAAGCACTACGAAGAATATTTGCATGTGCCTCCCAGAGGCTGCCCTCAACCTAAGCAACATCTCCCACCATTCCTGGCCACTGGAAAGGCTTGCTGGCTCTGTTGGGAACAAGCATCCGAAGACACCAAGCTGGAGAAAGGCAGGAGCCCTAGAGCGCTGTTCAGCTCACGCACCTGGAGTGTCTGTCGTAACTGCGAGATCTGCGGTAGCTGTCGCTCCTCTTGCTCCTGCTTCGACTGCGGCTCCTGCTGTAGTAGCTGTCATAGGTATACGACCTGCTTTTAGAGCAGAAAAGGAACGTGCCTGATTCTTTGCTTTAGGAGTGTGTTTTATCTCCCTAGATCAGGGCTGGGGAACCGGCTCCAAAGGCGGAAAGCTCCTCCAGCCAGCGCCTCTGGTGTTCAGGAACCTCAACTCGGGCATTGTGCTAAAGAAGCCAGAGCCAGGCAGTTTCTGGCTTGCCGAGTTCCTCCAGTGGCAGGCAGAGCCAACCGGGAGCCACAGGAATCTGGTGCCAGCACGCAGGCACCGTTCCAGGCTGTCGGGAAACCACAGCCCCGAACTATCACCAGCCTTCTACTGAAATCGTGGCCTTGCCAACGTGACTGTGTCACAACTACACTTGCTTTTCAGACCCTGATCGTTCTTCACATACCTTGACCGACTACGGTGATCGTAAGAACTGCTTCTGGAGCGACTTCTACTGTAGGTGCGGCTATTAAACAAGAAAAGAACAGCACGGTCATTGCTGGAGTCACGCTGCACCTGTCACTTTTTAATCCGAGCTTCCCAGAGCCGGGTCAAGCCTCCGGCAGCTTCCTGTCCCATGCCCCACTCCCGCCTGCTGCTTTCCCCCGTCTCCATTTACCTGTGACTTCTGCCACTGTTATAGGAACTGCTTCGGCTTCTCGAACGACCTCTGCTGTACCAGCCTCTGCTCCGGCTTCGTGTGTAGCTCCGTGACCTGAGCATTTAAAATGCGCGCATGGAAAAGCAGTGCTATGTCAGGGGCAGTCACAGCTGCTGTGCTTCAAGGTTTTTGGAGCAAAGCTGGCAAGCAGGCCAGGAAAACCAGAGGAGGGAAGAGACAGGCAAGGAAGTCCTGCCAGCTGCGTATTCACCCCAGACCCTCACGGGGCTGTACCAACCGGGGCCTAGAGGAAGCACTGCAGGGGCAGGCAAAGGTCTTCTCACAGCTGCAGTGCCCCCACCGCAGGGTTTGAACTACCACCCACCCACCCTGCAGGAAAGATTAATGTTTGTATTTCGATACTGCTGGTATTTTACACGTGCATCAGTTTGCTCTCTATAAGCTGACTTGGCAGGATTTGTATCTAGAAAAGAAGACTGTAATACTGATCTGTAAAATGCTCATCGTCTTACGCACCTGTATGAAGTGGAGCTTCTCGAACGGCTTCTCGAGTGACTATAGGAAAGCGATCTTGTTCTGTGCCTGGATTTAGGATCTGACTTGCTCCGTGATCGGCTGCGGCTCCTTGACTGGCTGTTTTCCCGTGTGGGAGATTCTTCCTCACTAGAGCTCTCACAGTTTCTTGGTCTTCGATTAAGCCGGGCAGTCTTTCTTACTTCATCAAACAAAGAACCAGGCCTAATCTTGTTTTTACTTTTGATTTCTATTCTTAAACCTTGTGGTTTTGATTCTGATGATGTCGCCACATTTCTGGCTTCTAAGGAATGGCTAGCAGCAGCCGCAGCTGCAACCTGTACATTCCCTATACCCTGTAATGGCTTCCATTTATTATCCATTATGCTGCTCTGAGCATTTTCAGTTTTCACTATGCTTTCCAGGGCAGCAACTGCTGTAGAGGGTTTAGGTCTCTGTCTGTCTCGTTCTCTACTGCCTTCTTTCATCCCAGTCAATTCTCTAGTACTGAGTCCTTGCTTTGCAGCCTCTCCTTCAGAATTACCTGATACATCTGCATTTTTACTAACTTTAATGTCCTGGAAGTTCACCTTCAGACTTACTGGAGAAAGTTCCACATCAACTTTTACAGGTGAGTTGTGATCTGGAGTACATATCTCCATATCATCCACCTGGGTAACATCCACCTCATTTCTAGCATTTACTTTGGCAGGCTCAGCACTTTCGGAAACACCCGCGTTTTCATCTGCATTTAAAGCAGGGACTGAAGGAGCCTGCTCCCCAGGACCTTTCTCAAGGCGCCTGCCGGGAGATTCACGGCCTACGGCTTCATCTGACAGCACACTGACTTCTTGCAGCTTTTCACCGTCCCTTGTTTTGTCTTTGACCACTTTACTTTCAGAATCCTGTCCTTGATTTTTAACGCCAGTGATTTGCTTCTCTCGCTCATGACTGACCCCCGTCTTTACAGTAACGTCCTCGTCCTCTTCTTCTTCTTCACCAAACTCCAACGGAGGTTGCCAATGAAATGTTTCCTTTTGTTTCTTATGCTTTTTTTCTTTTTTACCCTTGGATTTTTCTTTAGCTTTTTTGGAATGTGCTTTTTTGAAGTTCTTTTTGGAGCTGTGTTTTTGCTTTCTTGATTTTGCTTTGGCAGCCGTGTTGGAATACAGGCTCTCTGATTCAGAGGGAGAAGACCTCTTGTTGGTCTTGACTACATCCAATTTGGCCTTACATTTGGCAAGGCTGAGATCCGTGTCTGTGTCAGATGTAGCTTCGCCTTCCTCCTTACTAGAAGACAACCTCGACTCTTCCTTACAGTTTCTGCCTCTACCCTTCTCTGAATCCGATTCAGAGTCACAAGTGCTCGCAACATGCGTTTTCCTTCTTGCTTTCCGACCGCTCCTTGGAGAGCCAGATTGCTCCTTCAAAGTCCTTTTTTTAAAATGATCACTACTCCACTCAGACCTGGGCTTCTCTTCGTACCCATCACCAGCTGCACTGCTCTTCTTTTGTCTCCGGTTAGCTTTTTCTGGCAGCAGCTGCGCTTTCTCATCGACTGGCTGCGCTTTAGCCACCTGCTCACTGTCTGTGGAGAAGTCCAATGAGGATCCACTTGTGCTCTCTTTGCGCCTCTGAGAAGTCGCCTCTTTCGCATAAGGGAGGGTACTTTCAGAACTACTTTGCCTTTTCTTTGACAATGGCACATTTCTTTCTCTGGATTCAGATTTCGTTTTGCTCTTCTGTCGATCATCCTCACTTAGGGAAAAATAGGACGACGATCCACTGTAGCATGACTGGTCACTGAGGAATTTATTTGCAGAACGAGATCTGACAGTAGATCGGGACCGGGACCGGGACCTTGAACTGGACGGACTTCTCGATCTTGAGTAAGACTTGGAGTAGGATCTACTTCTAGATGTCCTGCTCCGAGACCTTCGCCAACTGCCTGAACTTCTGTCACTCCGATTTTTGGAATAATCACTCTGGTCACTGTCAGAACTCTTTTGTCGCTTATGGTATGAAGAGGATGAACCAGGGTCTTTGACACTTACTAAGCTGTAAGTGGTCTGAGTAGGTATTAGGTGAGTTGTCTTCGCTTTCATTTCCTGAATTCGCTCATAGGATGGTTTCCAAGGCTTTTGCCCAGGTTTCCATCTAGAAGGGGGCGGACTGTCACTAAGGGGTATAACTGGAATGTTTTCAGCGACAACAGGCTGTACCACAACCTGATCGTTCTGTGGCAATGCAGTTCTGACAGGTTCAACCTTAACTGGCTTACGATCGTTTAAATGAGCGGCCACGTTTTTCGGTGAACTAGATGCTATTTTCAGATGCTTGGGAGCGGAGCTAGATCTCGATCTGCTTCTAGACCGTGAAGACTTATAAGCAATTCTTGAGCGAGAACTTCTCCTGGAGTAAGATCTGGATCTGGACCTGTAATATGACCGCGAGTCCCTGCTTGAGAGAGAGACTGAACTCTGCTTGTCTCGCTCAGATTTAGACCAGCCCCGTCTAGAGGAGTCATCCCTAGAAGACAGTGAGGAAGAACGAGAGACCCCATCATGATCCGAAGGCGATTTTGTCCTTCGAGTTGAAGAATGAGGAGAGTCCATCTCTGTGGAAGAGGATAATCTCTTTTTTTTAATTTGCTTGTGCTTCTTGATGTGCTTTTGCTTTTTGGCTTTCTTTTTGTGCTTCGCCTTTTTTTCTTTCCGGTGCTTTTTGTGGTGGCCAATATATTTTGCACTACTTAGATCTGAATAACCATTATGTGACCAAGACCTTGACCTCTGGGAAAGACTTCTTTCATCCCACCTTCCTGGATCACTCAGCCTAAAAAGCAAGCAGATAAAATGAGTCAGCATCCCTTCACATTTGTCTGCTTGATTTCTACAGCTCTCCAATGAGGGCTCTGAAGAACTGGTAAAAATCTGGAAGACATGCCTAAGCACTGGGTTTCACAGGTGCTTTCTTAAAAATCTAGTATCACTTGTAGTTCTGTGACTCAAATAACAAGAAACTAAAGGACAAATCTACATCTGAATGGATAAACAGAGGTCCACATGGATCAAGGCTTTTACATGAATTTGTAGGCACAAAAGTAATTTTGAAAGCCATCTCACAGTTGCAAAATTCTAATGTGAACCAGTCCTGAGAGAATATTAGTTAAAAGTATGTTAGCTATTCATCAAAAATGACAACACCTGGGGTGGAGGTGGGGTTAAAGAATGCCAAATTCAGGTATTTGTTTTCAACATAAAATTTCATCAGAACCCAGTATTTCCACTCCAAAAGCCACTGCAGATTACCTCAAGCCTTCTTCATTTTGGAGACACTGAGAGGAGTCATTCTGTAACTGCTACTGTTAAATTCAGAAATCCTTGCAGAAATGTTAAATGCAAGAAATCCTTGACTGTACATCAGTCAAGATTTTCCACTAGAACCAGTGGAACTGCAACTGCAGTTTAGATGTATTTTGCTGTACTGGATAAGATACTTTGACATTAGACTGGTGCGAGTGGGAGTCTGGGGCCATATGGACAGGAAAAGCTTACACAGATACTCTTCCTTGCCGCTCTGGTATTAGCGGTCTCTATGGAACACAGTGCAGGAAGTTTATCTAACTTTATAAATGGTTTTAATGAACTCTCATGGAGGAACTATTTGTGTGTTAAAGCACAAAGCACCATGCAGGTGATTTGAAAAGGAAAAAAAAAGTACGGGTTTAAAAGGATTCTAACATGGAACAGAAATATGGCCTCTAAAACACCTGTCTTTACTCAAGATCAGTTACACGGACTCTTGCTTACTTGCATTCTGCAAAGTGTCTGCTTTAAGTGTGCATGTCGTTTTGTCCAAGCTCTAGTTGACATAAACTCGGGATTCTAGGGAAGAACCAAAGCAGGCCCTCCGGGTCTGAACACATCCCACCCCTTGTCACGTATGATCTGACATTACCGCCACCTTTATCTTTTCTTGCACAAGCCAATCTAGCGAATGTATCATTTTGCAGTAAGATCAGGGACAAGCTAAGAGGTTGACAGTCTCAAAGTCTTACTTGTCGCCTTTACTCCATTTCTCGCCACTGGGCGGCCTGTAAGCGCGTAATCGCTGCATCTCTTCTTTCCAGTGTGGGGGAGTCTCACTGCTGCCATCGTTATCCGACTCTGAACAGGAGCGGGAATGAGGCGGTGTGTGGTATCGCTGGAAAAGATGCAGCAGGAGGCTATTATGAGTGCATGCGTCCCACCTGGCAATTCCCACCCATGCTAAAGGCAACTTCAGGGGCCACTGGAGGCCGCACAGGCACTACAATAGGTTGGGAGGTTGATCCCAGATGTGAAGAGCTGTAAAGGTTATAGTCCAGGAGAGCTACTCTAACGGAGGAGGAAACCCAGGTGGACACCTGCACAGCCAAGCTAGAGGCAAGTCAAGACATCAAATTCAGCCTCGCTAGCTGCTCTAATTCATTTGAGCATACCTTTGTAACCACCATATCTTTCTTTCTTTGCCACACAAAACTTCTGCCAGTTACAAGGAAACCACACCATGCCCATTTTAAATCCTTGCAGCTTTTTTAGGTCTTACGACCCTCACCCTCAACCATTTTATAAATAACCATGCTCTACATTTACAGAAGCCTATTTACTCAGAAAAGCATGATCTAAACAAGTAAGACCTATTTTTAATAATCTTTTTCCTATCACAAAGGTCTAATGACAAGTGTGCAGCAAAAAAGCTTGAGCGTGCTATTAATCTACTGGTCCGAGGAAAGATACTTTTTCTTCTTTACTGTGCTGGTGGTCAAGCCAGGAGCTGTGCACACCAGCTTACCTTATGCTTTGTAGGTTCATATCTGTCACAAAAGACCAAATACTTTCAACATACACAACTAACTCCTTTCCAGTGTCAGTCATTTCCAGCACCCGTTTAATCTCATCCACATTCTTTCCACCCATCTAATAAACTGATAGGATTAATCAGCAAGGAGAATTTTCTTTCCTCGAGAGTCCACAAGCTACTTAAGATCCATCACAAGCACATGTGACCTTTCTATCATTTTGAAAAACTACCATGCTGTCTGAGCCTGTCCCAGCCCCGCAGCAATGTCTAAGGAGATGCAGGAATTCTACCAACTGCAATTCTTTTGACAGACATGCAATAGACCAAACAAGCAAGATAGAACATTTCAGTGTTGGTTAAAAAACCCCTAATTTAATTTTCAATCTTCAAAGGGAAAAATACAGAACATACTATTGTGCCTCTCCCTCTGATTTTTCTTCCAGATTTAGATACTGAAGGCTTCTGGTCTGTCAAAACTGGTGCAACATCAGGAGGTTTCCTTAAACATCAAGAAGGTTGCAGGTATAAGGAAAATGGTGTGGAAAAAATGCGAGTCTGTTTCTTGTTAAAATGACTAAACATATGGCAAACATGCATGCACACAGACAGACTCCTCTCCACTGTCATCCAAGGGCCATGCAGTCCCACACATGTGATGGCAAAAATGCCACACCTGGAAGGCAACCCTTTCCTTTCCGTGAGTTAGAGAAAGACCAGCCAAGGCATCGCTTCTGGGTGGGGTTTCGGCGCAGCACACGGAAGCCCCTTCTGCCGTTTGCCCTCTGACAAGGACCGACCGGGCTTCAGAGGCTCGGCTGGCAGGCCAAGGAACGAAGCTCCTTTAAGGGCACTAACTGCCAGGCTCTTCCTGAAATAGTGGCAACAATTACGCTGAGCAGCAAGCAAGCATCTCCACAGGGCGCTTGCCAGTCTGGCATGGTGGCTGGAGTGGGTCTGGAGAGATCTGGCTTCTAGTCCCCACCAAGCCATGGAGCTCACTGGTGACTCTGGGCCACTCCCAAGCGCTCCGCTTAACCTACCTCACAGGGGTGTTCTGGTGATAAAACAAAGGGAAGAAAACGGTTCTGTAAGAGTCCGTGGGTTGCTTGAAAGAAATAAGGCAGGGTGTAATAGAAAAATAAAACATTCCTGTGGAGAGAATTCCCTAACAGCCATAAGGCAGGTGTGTGTAAGAGAATTTCCTATGAACTGGAGGGATCCCCTGGTCAACTACCTCTAGATGAGGGTGACGTGAACTCAGGGCTGCCCCCTGCCTGCTCATCAGTTTTCAATGACTCTCCTTGTTTCTAACAATACAGATGAAAAACTAACACAAATTATGAAAAACGTGAAGATGTCATTCCCTTGCAGTACTTTAGATGGAACAAAGCTAAAGAATTAAATTATGTCTTGCACTTCTCGGAATTAAAGTTTTCCTGATCTAGGCCTTGCACAGGCGCGGAATCTTATATGCGATGCACAGAAACCACGAAGAAGAACAATGCGTCCGCCTCTCATACACCAGGGATAAGAACAATTACAACTGCTATGACGCTACCCTAACTGGTGAAAAAAAATGGGGCTGGGGAAAACTGCTTGTTTTTGAAGGATTGGTTTTGTCCAGCCCCCCACACAAAAAGGTTTAACATTTTTGGGTTTCATAAAATAACATTAAGAGATTTCTAAAATTGATTTCTAAAAGCTATGAAATGAGAAAACTTTTATAAAAAGGACCTGACATATAAAACATCTGGAAATAATGCAGCCATGGAGATTTTTTTAAATCCCTCTGTAACATTCCCAGCACTTATACTTCCATTTTTATTAAAATTGATTGCTTATACATTTTTACTTATACACTTTTAGAGATGCTCAAAGCCACACTCAGTTTCTCAATAAGTGGATAGAATCGCCTTATCTTAAATGGAAGAAAATGTGCATTCTTGACAATCTGGGTTTCGTTCTATGGAGTCTCTGATCTTTATTTTTCTATAGTGTTTCTGGGCTTGCTCTGGTTAATTGCTGAACACAGTCAAGTAATGAATAATAAACATGCAGAAAAAAATCACATGGGGGAGAAAACCACCAGATCTGATAGAACAACATCCCACATATGCCCCTCTTAAAAAAAAATCTTTGGTGCTTGTGTCTTCAGAATTCACAGCACATTTTTAATAAAGCTCTCAATCAGACTTCAGAAGCAGGCAATGCTGCCTCACTTATAAAACCTTTTGGTTCCTTGCTGCCTCCAAAAGAAACCCTCTCTACCTAAAAGGAACTCAGCAGCCTGATTCTTAAAAGTGTAGCCCTGGGACTGACAGTACCTCTAGAGGTCACCTCCCGAAAGGAACCAAAAAAAAAAAAAAAAAGATGTAAATACCTTCAACAAGGTAAAATTTCCTAAGTGAGTAAAATGTCACCCTTCAAATAAGAAGCTGAGACCGCTTAAAGGTTCCTAAATTAATTGTGGTTGATTGCCATTTCTAAGTTGAGTCTTTTCCAGTCAAGTAACATCTCAATAGATTTTTCCTTCAGATCAGATTTCCCTAAGTTCCACCTCACAAACAGGAACAGGGTTTAGGATTTTCCCCACGCTGCAGATCACTCTTTCTCTGCCTCCAGTTCTTATTGCTTCTTTTTGCTTCCCAGAAGACTCAGAGGCGTCAGGAAAAACTTCTTCTGATCTGTCATAAAATGGGAACCTCAAGGATGTTACGTGTAACTTGAGGTGCTCTTAGAATTATCATGCTCAACATATTACATTCAAAAGTACAGCTTATTCAGACAATAATTACAAGTTTGCTGAGCTTACTTTTAGGCATTTCAATAATTTTATGAGCAAACCCAATTATACATAATATAACTTCAGGAACCCTACCCCTCCAGAGTGCTTGGATGCCAATGTTCGGCATTTCTGACCACTCGCCATGCGGCCTAAGGCTGATGGGAGCTGAACTGCATGGTATTTGCAGGAGAGCAGGTTGGGGAAGCTATTCCAAAGAAATTCAGTCATGTCACCTCTGCGAAAGTGCTAAAAGAGAAGATAGCCTGTTTTCTTTCCCCCCTCGATCTCCTGTTTTTCCCTGAAAAAAAAAAAATCCAGGAAAAATAATGCCCCCATGGCTTCAGAATTTCCAGATATACTCTTAATAATCCTAAAAAACGGAAGTGTTCAAAGTTCATTGCTCACTGCATGTGTCACAGGATATGTGGGGAATAACTGGGACCCTAAATGACCCAATAAATTCTGGCAGTAGCAGAGCTTACCATGACTAGAGCTCCCACTGAAAATGACTCTAAACCTCGCCAAGATTCAGGAAAAAGTAGGAACAGAATATATTATTCCACGATTGCCTTGCTATTTATTTTTAAGGCACTTGATACAGGCCATTGCAGGAGATACCTGGCTTGATACAATTTTCTTCCACCTTCTGAGAAAGAGAAATACGGATATTGATTCCCTGTCAGGTAAGGTTCTGCAAGTCATGAGGATCAGTGACCGATCCATCACAACTGACTCAAGAATGACTATGTAGAACTATTCCCACAAAGAAATAATGCACACAAAAAGATTAAAAAATGCTGCATACGGCTCAGGCTCTGAATTCACAACTGGCGCATCTCTTCTAAGCAAAAATCTGTTTTCCGGCACTGGAGGAATTTCTTCAGGACGAACAACAGGTTTGTCCCTTTTCGCATTCAAGTCCACCAATTTTTCATTTGCTTCACTTCTATCGGAGTGGCTGGATGGGAAGAGAGCAATTTTTAAGACACCCTAGCAGTAGGACATTCCACTTTGAAAACCCAAATAAAAACATCTGCCCAGCAAAATATCTAGTAATTTGACAACTATCTAGATTAAGACTTAACATCTGCAAGTTTTCCTCCCAATCATAACCCAGTGAAAACTCAATCTCCAGACACAGATATAATATTAAACCTAAACTCCAAATATTCATATACAGGCAGTCCCCGGGTTACAAACAAGTTTCATTCCTGAAAAAATGGAAATTAATCTTTAAATCAAAATTTTATGTAAATTGGATTATGTATAGTCAACCCTCTTCATTTGTGGGGGTTAGGGGTGCAGGTCCCCCCATGGAAATGGAAAAACTGAAAATATCTCCAGGGTCCCCACCTCCCACCCAAATTGACTAGGGTCTGCTCTTTGCAGCAGGAAATGCCAGAGATTTCCCTCTCCAGGTGGGCATGAAGGCATGCTTTGGAGACCTCCCTACCCTTTTGCTTCTTTTCTCTCTATGATGATAACAATTTTGTGCACTCATTCTAAAAAAATAATAGGATTAATAGCAATCTGTAAGTATGGGTTATTTGTAACTCAGGTGTTCATAATTCGGGGACTGCCTGTAACTCAAGTTCATCAACAGGCTTCTATTCCTTGGTGTGCAGAAATATGTCACCTCAATTTTGGGAAAGAAAGGAGAACAGAATTTTGGGAGTCTGCACAGCAGCAGGGAAGCTGGTCTGTCATTTCCATGATCCTCAGCAGGCGTACCTGGAGACGCCTCTCATTCAGTGGGGCTTTTTCATTGTGCGAAGCTTTGGCTGAATTGGCTTGGCACTTTAAAAAGCTTGCTCCTCAATCCAACAGCAAGAAAAAAGGCTTCCTTATCCATTTTTATGACAATTCATTAGATACCTTCTTTGGCCTGATGTCCGTTTATTCTTGGATTCATCTTTCTTTCTTTCCTCCCTTCTTCGCTTCCTTGACTGCTTGGTTTTAGTTCTTCTCTTGCGTTTCCTTTTTCTACTTCTTTCATTTTCAGATTCACTGTCAGATGAAGTTTCTGATGAAGTAGATGAACTGCTGGTGGAGGTATCTGATGCTTCTGAGTGAGTCGACACCCTCCTCTTCTTCTCCTTCTCTAGAACTTAGAACAATAAAGTTATTATGTATTACACTATCAACTATTGCACACTCGCCTTCTTGGGACTATTTCAAATAGTGTTGCTTCAGATTACTGAGTAAGCCACTACTTGGATCTGCCTAGATCATCACTGGCCAGATGTAAAAGTCTACACAATTCACTGCGAGACAGTATGGCACAGTGGGTAAGAATGCTGGACTAGAATTCGGGAGGATAAGACTGAGAGGAAGAAGAGAATTATGTACACTACCTTATGTTTCTTGGAAGGGAAAAAGATGGGATATAAATACAATGAATATGTAGGTATGTAAAAGCATGGTTTACTGCTATTTGCCCTAAGAAAACTTACCCAGACTCCAGATAGAAACTTGCCCTGCTGGTTCTCTGGCTTGGTTCAAGCACAATGCTAAATGTTTATTTAACCCATGGTTTGCCACTGTAGCCAGGTTTGTCTGGCAGACAGCTTATCAAACAATTGTTTGTTTCTCATTCCTGGCATTTTTGCTCCTTCTCCTTTACCCCTTCTCTGTATTCCAAACACCTTTACAATGCTGTACTTCAGATCTGTACAGCAGTTACACTTTTTGACTGCTTTTCTCTGCAACCTAGCAACCCCCCCCTATTGTTCTGCAGTCATACATAATGAGAAGCCATAGGTTAAACTGCCGTAACTTACAACACAACAAATACCCTAAGTTCTTTTTCTGCATTGTTCATGGATAATAACCATGGTTTATTAATACTGCCATATTCGCAACATTGTGACTACTCAGAATTCCACAGCCCATGCCATGGGTTAGCACTACATTCAACAGTCCTATCAGCAGCTGGTTGGACTTTTATTGCTATCATTTTTCTTGTCAGGTCTCTATCTTAATACTTCTCTCTCTTTTTAATGGCCCTGAAGACGTCTTTCCTCTAGATGATTTTTGAAAGTACACGGCTGATTCTCAAAGTTAGTTTGTTTTTAATTTTGCTTTCTTGAAGCTGGCCGCAAAATACATTAATCCATTTTTATTATTTGTAACTAAGGTTCCATGCACTAACTGGTTAAAGACGTCTGTGTGCAATGTATGAATGGAGCAGTCTATTTCTCATGCTCGCTGAAACCATGCCCCTAGGATGGCATCTGCACAGGCTCAACAAATCCTCTTCCTTCCAAAGTCCTTCAAGCTAGCAAGTTATTCTGGGGGTAAAAATGTTTGGCATGCTTGCTGTACTGCATTCTGAGGCCAAGGACAGAGTGGGGAAGAGGAGGGGGAAGGTAAAGAGGTCTACTAAAGCTGAAATCACATTTGGATAAAGCAAGCCTTTCTTAGTGAAAGTAATAAACCCGTTTACTTTCAAGCCGTATCATAAAGAGTATGGTACCAATATATGAATTAGCAAATGAATTGTATGTGGACAGTTCGGTCATGAAAATGGCTTATGTAAACCACAATCAGAGCTCAGGAAATGGACAGCAATCCATTGAAGCTTCTTGTAACCTATATTATTTATTTATTTATTTATTTAAAACATTTCTCTGCCGCCCGAAGCCTCGGGGCGGCTCACAACATAAATTAAAATATAATACATTAAAAATAGAAAACAAATTAACAATATATAAACTAAACATTTCAAACTAATTTAATAAGGCTTTTTAATATTTCTAGGTCATCCTAGGATTAGTTATAACTATCCTGTAGCAGGTATGTTCTGTTAAATATCCAGCATGAGACCACTTCCCTCAAATGCAGTGATATAACGTGCTTACATTTCGTATAATGTTATAAAATGAAAGCAGTCAAGGTGTGTTAAAAAGTTGTTTCCAGATTTTTAATTCAAATTAAATCCCATAGAATGTCTAGAACCAGTGCAAATTCTGAGCTCTTTTCACCCAACTCAGGCAGAATGGAAGGGCTTACCATCCTTGGCTGATTTCGTAACCAGCACTCCACAGTCAATAACTCGCACATCTGCATAAGGTCTACTGGCAGCATCGGTTTTCAGATTCTCTATTTGTTCTATTACTTCAAAACCAGAAATAACCAGTCCAAAGACAACATGTACTCTGCAAAAAATACAAGATGCAAAAGGCACACTGGTTTATATAGAAGCAGGAGCTGCATAGAGTGACTTCTTGCAACAATGCAATTCTTAAGAAGAAAAATATTCTTTTTTTTAAAGGTTGGATCAAAGATGTTCCACACTTTTGTATAAATGCAGGTCAATAATTCTGAAAATATCACACTATATTTTAATTAAGTAGCATATGGGGGTGTAAATTATAGAATTTATTATATACATCTGAGTTATCAGAGTGAAAAAGAAATCAAGTCTTTTAAAAGGAAGATATTTTTACTTTGTTTATAGGTGCAGCTTGTTCCAGAAACTCTGAGAAAAGCTGTTTGTTTCAAGAGATTCAGGGCTTCTACTTTCACTGCCAAAAAGTACCCCCCACAACAGAGGCAAAAAGCACACTACTCTAAAATAAATGGAAAAATGCTTTTTCCATGCCCCTCCTGTACTATATGCTTATCATGTCCATCCGACAGGGATCTCCGAACATTGCAAGCACCCTGTGGCATAACTTAAGGAATGCGATCAGTCAACGCTCGGTCACCACAGCTTAAATTCAAAGTCTCAGCCATACTTGCTCTTAAGCAGGTGTGTTCAGAAGAGGTTCTCTCTCCTGGATTCTTCCTAATGTGCAGGAAATTTTAAAATGTGACTTACCCATCAAGGTGAGGAGCAGGCTTGGTAGTTCTGCAGAACACCAACATACATGAGATGACATTTTTAGGAAAAAAATCAGGTGTTCAGATGAGAAGGTAAAAAGGCAGAATGGCACATATAACAAAAAGGGGAGAAAAAAATAGAACAGTTAATTTTGTATATAAACCCCAGATTCACACTAAATGCAGGGACTAGATCATCTTTTTGATCATATTACAACACAACATCACATTTCATTTTTTCCACTATTCCAGGTGAAATGCATGCATGTATCTAAATAGATCAACTTGTTCAAGCAGAGCCAAAAACTGGAATATTAGCATGGATTTGCAGATTTCATCTAGTGCAGCAAGGGCTGCACTGGTCCACTGTGCAGAAATGGAATCTGCTTCTTGGCAATACTATTTAAGTGTCATAAAAATAAAAGAGGGTGCTACTGCAGCTGAATGCTATACAAATTTAATAGCCAAATCTATTAAGACGCAAAAAGACAAAACATTTTCTGCAAACGACCCAACCCTGGTACGCTTGCAAATCAAGTCTAAGTCATTTCATCAGAGACTGGCTTACAGCTACTGCTATAGAAAAGTAGTAACTAAAATATACAAACCATCAAACAACACATATATGCTTACAGTTTATTCCTGTACAGTCGTAAATCCCACTGAATTCCATAGGGCTTTCTTAAGAGGTTAAGCGTGCATGGGATTGCAGCCTCATTCATTTACACCATTTGGCTTTTTTTTTTTAATATTCACAGGTTCTGGACTATCTTTCAGAATCTATTTAAAAGCTGCAGTTTTTTTTAAAAAATAAAATAGAATTCACTGTCTGAAAGAACTAGAGCTTCTTGAAAATATTCCAATTTGCGTGCACCCACATGTGGGGGTACTTCAGAAAAATCAAAACTACTTTCAAACTGATTTCTAAGAACACTGTGCTGAAATAACAACAGGAGCTGCATGAGAAACCAGCCAATGACTTGTACTCTAAACTTTAAATGTATGAACTTCAGTTCCATCCTAATGAAGTTCTAATCCATGGCAACCGGAGATAAATGCTGCTATTCATTCGAACATGATACAATCACTACTGCCCCCTTTCCAGCCACACAACCCAACAGTTGTAACAACAACTAGGCTCCCTCAGTTCCCATCTGGCAAGAGGGTAGTCCAATGACAGACCTCTACGAAAGGATGGCCCCACAGGCTTTCGGCAAAAACACAATCGAAGCATAATGTATGCCTCTTCCTTACACCGCACAGAGTGCCTCTGCAGGAAGAAGAAAAAAACGGCTGCAGTTTTCTTCCTCGAGATTAAGGGCACTCTTCCAATGCCTAGAGAACGCCCCATTCTCCTAGAGTAAATCGTATGTTCCAGTAAATGCTTCCCATAAATCAGGGGTTCCACAGTTTTTAGCCAGCCAAGATGAGCAATTGAGTGCCACTGTCTAAGCAGCAGCCACGGAAGTGTGGAGGTGTGGAACTTGCTCACCTGGCCACGGCATGGCCAAGGTGCTCCAGGGACTACAGCCAAATAGGAGAGACGGACGCTCCCTGCTCCCGTTTGCCGTAGCATAAAAGGGAGGCTGGTGGAAGACTTGATGGCTTGGTCCTGCAAGGACTTGGCCACTGGAGCACCACAGCAGTACGTTGCCTGATCCACTCCTAGCCATGGGTGCTGGAAGGCACGCAGGAAGCGCACCTCTGTGCTGCAAGGCTGGGAAGAACAGCGGGCACAGCAGCTTGTCAGGGGACGCCTGACCCAGCAAGCAAACACAGAGGAGCCTGCTTATTGGGCCTGCAGTGAAGGAAGGGCAGTCTGGCTTGCTTGGGCTGCAAAAAGCAATGCAGTCACGAGAGAAGGGTATACTCCAAGTCCCACTACCTGCTCTGAAAGACCGAGCAGCATTGCACTTTGAAGTATATGCTTAACAGTCAAGGAAATAAACGCAGTGCAATGAACGCTAAGCACACGCTTGAGCATTTCAAACAAGAGGGAGACTGCGCAACCAAACGTTTCCATATTGGCGGTCGACTTTGGGCAGCAATTCATATAGCATCCCACTGTGGTCACTGCTGGGCCTAGCGACATGGACAATAAAGACAGTCACTCCTCATTAAAATAACACATGAAAAATGGGTATTTCTACAGCTGGGATGCTGGGATCTGGATGCTCAGGTTCAAATTCTACTGCAGCCACAGACAGACCGGAAAGCAGTTGTTATGTCTGTCAGCTTCAGCTTCTTTTATCCTTACCCAGAAGAAGCTATCAGCCTGACCAAGGGACATATTGGAAAGCAACTCGCATACTTTGAACTACAACAGTAGGGACAGAAAACCTTGACTAAGATTGCTTTAAAAAAGTTACCAAAAGGTAACCGAGTCAAGAGCAACTCTAAGCACTACCAGTTTCTAAATAGAAGATTGCTCATTACAGCTCTGGAAATTTCCCCATGGAAGAATGTTTTCCATTTACGATGTTAATACTTAAAGACACTTTCATATACTTTCATTAGTGAGAAAGTCTGTCATGCACTGTACCTCTGAATAGCTAGAACAAGTTTAAGCTTTTTTTTTTTTTTTTTGCCCACCATGTTTTAGATATCCCAAAAAACTGGACACTCTGAAACTCAAAGTTAAACAAAGTGGCAGATGTCTAGATAACCAATGTATCTTCCATAGGAAGTCTGTTGTAGTAAAAACACAAGCTGATCTCAGTTTTTCGTAGTTCTAAGTATTATTCTTCCTAATGCAAAGAGCTGCTTACAAAATACTGCTTCTGGAACCCTGGACAGCACTTTTTCCAGGAATGTTTGATAACAATTTTAAATAAGGTACCATGAAATATCATCTTACATTTTCCAAGTTGAAAGAATGAAGCTATTTGTGAGTCTAAAATAGTATTATCATGAAGATAAACAAGTCTCTTTTTCTCAAAGCTGGAACTGACCCCAAGAAGAACTTTAACACCACAAGATTTAATGCACATATGATCAGAAAAGGACAAGAAAGACAGAAAGAGAAGAGAAAAGAACACAGCCTTAGAGGAATGAGACATTACCTTTGGAGCGCACGATGTAACACTGTTTCTGTAAATTTTACACAAAAATGGCAAGAAATAAATTGTAGTACAATTTCAAGCAAAACTAAGTCTAAGTTTAATACAAATTTAAAATATTTTTCAAGTGAATGCAGTTTTCACAGTGTATGCAAAACCAAGGACACTTTAAAAAGCAGGGCTCTAAATTTTCTTTATGTCCATATTTAGAAAGTTATAGCAAGTTCAGGGTTGTACCTGTAAAGAGATATCCTACTTATCCTGAAATGGCACTACAATGGATATGCTGTTAAAACTTTTCTAGTAAAGTGTCTATTCTTTCTTATATTTTACCCCCATGGAGGATGTAATTCTACATATGTCAAGCTTGGTTTAAGTGATTTGACATCTAAGGGTGAATTTGTACTATCCAGGACACCAAACCATTATGGAAGACTAGTGAAAAGATGATATTCTAATAGTGTTAGAAACACAGAAAACACTTTCACAAGTTGAAAAGGCCACTCATTCTAAAGACTTTTCTACACACCCATCAAAAAGAGTAGAACATACAACATTAAAGGCAGTAAGCTTTAATTTCCAAAGAGTTGGATTAAATCCAAAAGTTAGCTGTAGAAAAACAGGTAGGATTATCCCCCTAATTTTAACATTAACATATTGAATGCTAATAGGCCAGAAGATCAGTGGCTGATGACCCAATCCTAAATCTTTGTCCCTGCATATGAATACACATGCTAATGATGCTTTTCCAATACATTCCACACTGCAAGAATGAACCTTGCTGAAATGATTCAGTGCCGGGTTTGCTACAATTATTCCTTTCACTTACCAAGTCTAATGGGAACATATTTTTGAAGCTCTTCCCATTTACTATAGAACTTGTATTGTGTGAAAATGCACACACTCATCCAATTTAATCATTAGGGCAATTCCACAGGCATATTCATAATTAAGTTAAGCCTATATGTACGTTTTAGATTGTTTCTAAGTATTAAGAAACAATTTCCAGTGAAAAGAGATTTATGATGTTAACCTAGAACATGCACAGAAAGTTATGAGAAGAGTCACAGGGCTTGTCTGTTTCCCTTAAAGGTAACCATTTTCAGGAAGTTGAGGTTCACACTCAAAAATGTCTATCACTTTCAGGCTCGGATACAACATGGCCTGTTTACACAATTCAACAGTAGACCAGGACTTATTTTAAGCCATGATGGGGTGCAGCATATGCAGAGGCCATTTTGACTATTTAACAGCCGCCATGTCTCATCATGCGAGCCATTAAAGACCCTCACAGAACCCATGACTCCTGGATATGCACAACACAAGGCCCGGTGACCAGGTGCTTGTATATTGCATGCCCGTGCGTACTGGCTCACTCTCTTAACATTCAGGAGGTTTTTTCCTCCAAAGGACTGCTTGAAGTAGAAAAGCGAGGGGGAAGAACACGTCCCCTCTGAAGCCTCCCTACTGTGACTGGATACTCTTCAGATAAATAGCTTCAGAGAAATAACTTCCATTACTTACAACTGTTCAGAAACAAAATTTCAGCAGACAGAACCACGTGCCAGGTGCATCTAGATTCTTCGTGCGGAGAAGGGGAAGTGTGCGCCTGCACTATACAGCCGGCTTTTTTCTGCTGAATTAACAGTGCCAGCAACATCAGGAGGGTGTTGCTCCCCTGCAGCTGGATGTTCCCATTTCCCCTCCCCTTCAAAAGAAGGCCTCCCTTAGCCCTTTGCGCTCTGTTTTCCAGATTCCCCCGAGTTCTCACCCCTTGGCACACAGAACTGGGAGCATGAACCTGAGAGGCCTACCCTGAGTAACAAAGATATACAGCTCTTTCATAATATAGAGTAAAGTTACTGGGCTGGTTCACATTTAAAGCTTAACTGCAATTCAGCACTATGATGGTGGGCCATTATCAAGCCTCGGTCTTGTGTGCTCCTGTACTGTTCCAGCAAGATGTTTAGCTTTTGCATCTTCTTTAGATTCAGCAAAACGCTGCGCTGTCACCTGAATCTTGGCAAAGAGAAGCAGCATGTTTGCTTGTTTCAAGTATTATGTCAAAACCAGGCCAAAGTGTGGCTAATCTTAAATATGGTCAGAGAAAACAAATCCAATGGAAGCTATAATGTATAAATCTGGCCTGTTTTCATGAATTACCAGAGCCATGAGTTAACAAAGAGCCATGCGAGATCAGACCAGAGAGTCCATCTCGTCCAGCATTCAGTTCACACGGCAGCCTACGGGCTGCCCACAGGATCCCACACGCTAGGCGCCAGCGCAACAGCACTGCTTTGCCCGGGTTCCCCAGCAACTGGCACACACAAGCACAGTGCCTCAAAGAGGAGGCAGCACGGCCATCAGTACCACTGACAGCTGTTCCCTCTGTGACTTCCTCCAAATCCTTCTCAAGCTGTCCAAACTAGTGGCCCTCACTACTTCCTGCAGAAGAGCATTCCATAGTTAGCCATGCACTGTGTGAAGTCCTTCCTGTTATCTGTCCTGACTCCCTATCCATCAGCTTTGTGAGATGAACATAGGTTTTGGTAGATACTAGAGAGAGAAAAAAAATCTCCTCCTTCATGCTGTGCGTGATTTTTCCTCTTAAGGCTGCCCCCTTACCCACCCTTTTGCTAAGCTAAACGATGCAAGACGATGTAACCTTTCCTCATGCAGGAGTTGCTCCACCCTTTTGATCCTTTTGGTCGGCCTGTTCTGCACCTTTTCCCACTCCGCAATATCTTTCTCTAGGCGTGGTGACCAGAATGGTATGTGTCATTATTCTATGTGAAGTTATGTCACAGACTCATTTAAGGGCAGTGTGGTATCGGTAGGAAGGTTCAGAGTTAGCAACCTACCGTTAAGCTAAAACAGCAGCTCTTGATCGCTTTCAGGCGGCTGCACTAGAAAAGGTGGTGGATGGGGAAACGTGTGTGACCAAGGCTTGTTCTCATTATGCTACCTAAGTGTTTAGCGTTTCATCACATGTAGCCATTCCTTTGTATTCTGCCTACCAAACTACAGGCATCCTATGCAGCAGTCTTCCTAAACAGCAAAGAAATTTTGAAGCATCATCCCACTGTACATTAACCATGCGCTTTCTATTCGACCTAGCGTGTCCGTGTTTTGAATCAACTACACATAAAAAGTAGTCCCAATCATGGAAAATTTACTGTGAGCTGGTGAGCCGTAGCAACTTTCATATTTGTAGGTTTCTATGAATAGTGCAGATTATAGTATAATGAATTGTATTTATTCTTGATACAGCATGCAACAGTATGAAATGTCCATCCCGGTCAACATTGGTTTCCCCATATGGATAAGGGGGTGCTGTTCTTGCATCCGTGTTCTGGATGATGTGTTTATTGGTTTTGTTTACCATCATGATATTAATTCTAAGTACATGCACTGGAGGTGTGAACATACAAAATATGCTGCACTGGAGTGCTTCCAGAAAGTGATGCCAGAGAGCATTAAAAAACCCCAAACACCTCAAAGTTAAAATGCGGTTGGATAGGAACACACCACAAAAAGGCAGGTAGTTGGGGCTGAACCTACTGTTTGGCCATGTATTGGAGGAAACAGAAAAATAACTCCAGCAGACTATGCTTATACACCAGAGCTGTAACCAATACCTGCATCCACAGAGGCTAGGAACTGTGGCCACACAGAATCCCGAGAAGCTGATGCAGCTCCAGCATCCTCCTACCCTCATCCAGCGCGTTGTCTCAGTGGCCAGGGAAGCAACAGTGCTCCAGATACAGGGAGACTTGGCCAGGCCAGGGGCCTCGCTGCACATGCCTGATACCAGCTTTTCCACCATTTGCCATGGGCTTGAGTACGCTCAGTTCCAAAGCACTCAACTCATGCTTTGAAGGCAAGGCCTGCCAAACTGGCAGCAGTTTCCAAAGAAGCAGGCACAGAACCTGCTCACATTAAAATCAGCTTTAGAATCTTTAACCGTTAACTATCAGCTTTGGACTTATTCCCTCCCCAAAGATGGAAAAATGCTTATTATTTTAGAAATAGGAGGCACTGAAATTAGTTTCTACATAATATAAACTTTGGATCTGTGTCCACGAAAAAGTGCCTTTCAGTGAACTCCAGCAAAGAAGACATATAAACCCTATTTATGTACAGCATTTCACAAAATTAAGCCAACTATATCAACTCTTTGGCATTGGTCTTTTCCTGCTGTAAGGTAGCCAGCCTGTAAGAGACAAGCTACTAAAGCTCGTATTAATGAAATGCCGATCCACATAAGCAATAGAATATGAAAGAAACTTTAGAGCCCATTGGTACTTCAGTGCTTGATGTATTAGCAGTTGCGATTTCTCTAGTTCAGATAAGCTTAAAAATGGAAACGTGTGAGCAGAGAAAAAGGTAGCATGACTAAGAAAACAGCTACCACAGTTATTTAATCCAGCCTTAGGTTTCAAGAGAAGCCATCTCTCTGCCAAGCGAGACAACAGAATTCACTACATACACGCATCTTTGTACAGTGAAGTACAAGGCAAGAGCCTCACTCCTTCCTCTTATGGTTATATTTACTTTCCATTTTTTGGGACATTCCTTAGGGAACCACCTAAATATGCCTCTTATCTGAACTGTATTAAATCACAGTAGAGATCTCCTTTCAGACAAACGGCTGAGTTTTTCTAGGCAACTTCTTTAAAAAGGCAGTGAAGCACCATTCATTCTTATCCATCAAGAAAGATGGCAAAGTTTACCAAGAATTGAAGAATGCAATCTGGATTGTAATTTTATTAAGCACTAATGCAAACACAGCAGTGCATATATACAACAAACAACAACCCAAATCTTCCCCCAAACACAAGTCCACAGTGAATAAAGCATGTGCTTTTGTAAATGCTCTGAAGAAATTTGAAAGATAGAAAAAAGAAAAAAAAAACGCACACTAATAAAATCAAGTAGAATGACTGAAAAGACAATTTAACAAGGTAAGGGCATAGGTTTTGAGCAAAAAATCCCCAAGTACATTACTTTTTCATTAACTCTATAAGTCCAGAAGTAGCTCAAGAGATTCAAACTGTGTGCAGAAACCCCCTTTAGAATGTATACATGTTACTCTAATAGGGAAACTTGTGACAAACTCAAAGTAGGTGCTTTAGAGAAACTCTTCACATTGTACACAGATTTTACCTGCTGTCTGTAAATTAACCCTTACCAGGGAACCAGGATAAAATCCATTAATTCTGTACTAACTCAAGCCCTCTTCAGAAGATTCCCTCCATGCTTTCAGTGAACTTACAGCCCAATCCCCAATCATCCCACCTGTTCCACCCAAGGCCCACCCATGCAGAAGATCCTTATGTGAATACAGATGGACATGCAAAGACCTTAATGAAATCCATGATGGGAACATGGGTGAAGCCAACTGGCTTGGCAACGAGTGGAGAGCATTACTGGGCCACATGTACTGGATTCACAAAGGGACATGTCTGAACAGGGATGTTCCATTGCTGCAGGCCAAACTGGGACAAACATTTTGTCTGAGGAGTGGGTTTAAGAATGAAATTGAATAATTTACTCTTTTTAAATTATGTTTATACTCTGAACAAACTCTGGCAAAGCCAGTTATTCTAGAATTAAGAGTTTACCTACAAAATCCAAGATTTTTCTTCACTTTGTGAGGAAAGCAAAAAAAGTCCAATACCCTTTGCTTTTTTTTTTTTTCCTTCCCTCAAATACTTTTTAGGTTGATATGTTAGCAATACCATCTTTCTCATGAACAGCGCTTCTCCATTTAAGAAAAGTTAACTCTCAAATTACATCTACTTACATAAAAAACTGGGAACCATTGGTATGCTTCCCTCTGTTTGCCATTGACAAAAGGAATGCTCTATCATGTTTCAGAATAAAGTTTTCATCTGTTTCAAAAAAGAAAAGAAAGAAGGGGTTAGTCAGTTTCTTAAGAACTTGGGTATTTCAAGAGCTCACTTGAGAAATTTGAAAATTTAAATAGCAACCTGCACAAACAAAGTCGAGGCAGGTTTTATACAAACAACAAATCTTAATAACCATTAAGGAATGCTCGACAGTTTTGATGTTAAACGTTATAACAGCTTTACACTTTAAAACTTAGTAGTAATTCGTTATGAAATGGCTTTTTCCACAGTTCCTCAACTTGGTGCCTTCCAGATATGTTGTTTTTCAACTTCCATGATGGCTACTGGTCCATCACGGCTACTGGGCAGGAATGTGGTGAGCTTTACTCCAAAATACCTGGAGGGCAATAGGTTGGGATGCTTTACATGTCCATCTGGCCCAGTTCTGTTTGCTGTGACAGGCAGCGGCTCAAGATTTCAGGCACCGATTCTTCAGCCCTGCTAATCAAAATCCTCTTCCCCAGCTGGAGCCCTGTGCATGCAAATCATACACACTACCACTGAAGTAGGACCCCCTCCTTTTGTTCAGTCCAATGATGAAAAAGAGAGAGGAAGAACAAAGTGTCTCATAGAATACTTTCCCCGAGCTAAAGATTATCAGTAGATAAACGTAAAAGAAGTATGTCTCCTTGAAGAGGAGGCCTCCTGCATGCCAAGATTTAAGTGACTAGGACTACACAGCAGAACCTTAAACTGGGAGTAGAACAACAAAAACGCTGGGCTTTAGCTTTCCCGGTAATCCACAGACCACCCATTATCAGCATGCTAAAATGCCGAATGCATACAGCAAGACTGGGGTCCTTTTCTTTAGAGCCAGTACTGAATACTTGATTTGCTTTCTATTCACAGGGAAAACAACTTGGCCCTAATTCTCTCACTCATATACTCCACAAAACCAATCTCAGATCTCAGTGATCAATCTGCTAAGGCCATAGCATCATTCCACCCCCCCCCCGCCAACAATATTGATGAACAAAGGAGAAAGTCCATGTCCTCCTTTCAGCTTCAGTATGAACAAGTAAACATTTAAAATAAAATGTTAGTTTAATTATAAGTACAGAGGTATTGAGCAAAACTAATTTTAGTCCGCACAATAATTTTCATATGTAAACGAAGTCATGACAATTATGGTAGAACTGTTTGACGAAGCTACAAATACACAGTACCAGAATTGTACTTACCCATCATAAAATCTTAGAGAAAAAGAACCAAAAAACCTTTAGAATAAGTATTTGTCAACAGACTACTATTAAAGGCCAATATCTGCTGACACCGAAGTGTCCTTAAAAAGTAACTGTTTTCAATCATGCACGCAACTTTAAAAAGTAATACAAAACATATTCCATCGAACTACCTTCAATAAGATTTCCAAGCAATACTGTAACAAGAACTGTTGAACATCTGTTTTAAAATCAATAGCTGACCATATAAAACTCCTGAAGTTCATTCATAAGTATAGCAAGTAACATACATAAATGTATTGCTTCTATGAAAAGTACATGCTGAAAAATGTTTTGAGAATTCAATAGACATACAAACCTTGGAAGGGCAGGGATGGGGGAAGGGAAGATTTAGACTTTTCAGGAGTAAGTATGTGGAATCCCAATTATATCCTTCTCCAAAGAGAAGACCACCTTAGAGGCACTCAGACTATCTGTAGGCTTCTCTCCAAGCTACATTTACCCAGCCACAAATTCATTATCAGTGGTCCATATATTTATTAGGAAGGGTGCAGGGGAACAGTTTGAATTTGTGTTGAGCTTTTGTCTCTTACCTTTTCATTTTGCAAAAGACCACATTCTCTATAAACAAAAGAATATGTTGACAGTTTTAGGCAGGAAGATAGGAGTTGTCATGAATCAAGTTGCCTAGCCTCCATGCTGAAGTCATGTTTAACCACTACGTTAGCCGCAACAAATTTTGTCCATTAACATTAATATTAGAATATACGTCTTTAAAATTCATGCACATAAATATCCATGCAACATTACTCTCATGCAAAGGTGATCTAAGAAACCCTTCTCATTAAATGCATCAGGAATCAAAACTCTTACAACTGAAGCAGCAGATCAAGAACTATTGGATCTTACCTTTAAAATATCCTCCATAAATAGATTCACCTCCTTTTCCATTACCTAGTATTAAAATATAAATATATACATATTAATGGCAGCTATATTAAAAACTGGAATTGTTCACATGCTCGATAATTAAGGATAGTTAAGTCACTAAGATTAAAATAACACATTCTTAATTCTGAATACCTGATTTATCTGGCTACTTTAAAACCAGGTATAGCTTAAATTAAATCTATTTAATGTAAATAGTTCTACACAGCTTACAACCTTAGAGGAATCACGTATTAAAGATACTATTTTAAGTGTGGACAGAACACAGGAGGTACTTTTTATTTTTTTAGTGCCTAAGGGCTTATTTTCCTCTTCCTGTTTTCTAAGGGGTTCGGTAAATGTGGGAAAGAGGCATCCTGAAAGAACATGGTATGTGTGCGAAGATGACGGGTTTGTGTGAGCAGAAAATTTACACACAATTCTGAAAGAAAATAGGCAAAAAATGTTCACTTCTTCAAAATCACTTTTTCCTTTACATCTTGCAATTGTTCCCTAAATGAATATTAACATTATGCAAACTCTCAATAGTTGTGGACACTAAACTTACATTCCAAGTTAGCCTTCAGTGCAGAATAAAGACAGGAGTTGCAGTGAGGATGAAGAATGCAAACCATAACCAAGGTGTACATTAAATGAAAAGAGAAGTGGTGGACACTCAAAGTCATAATCCAAAAACTTTACTTCTGAGTGCTAATTCAAGGTCACTTCACCTAGCAAAGATACTGAACATTTCATCTGTTTGACTTTCCTGGCAGTTGTCACATGTGACAATTCACTAGATAACTATATAGCTTTTTGTACACTAAAAGCAATTCAGGAAAATTCATACACAGAAGCAGCTGCCATGGAGGAACTGTACAACATTCTAGCCAAAACCTGCACAAATAGGGATGCTTTGAAGGAAATGTCAATTTGTCTAATTTCCAATGCAACCAACTTTCTAATATGACATTCCTTATAAAAGCAAAAAGTGATAATTGAGTCATAAAACTATGTAGAAATTTTCCTGTAAAAAACAGTATTTGACATTCATTACAGATCCTGAGTAGGTTCAAGTATATGATAGGACAATGCATCAAAAACAAAATTTTTAGTGGCTACTCATATACAAATGAAGAGCTACACTGGCAACCTGGGAAGAATGTAAGGCCATTAATCACCATGAATCTCTGGCAGAGGCTGAGCTACAAATATAAAATTAGAAATTAGCATGACATGTTAATATTTGCTTTTGAGTTACATTTAAGTGATACTTTAATTAAAACATAAATTCTCTGCCTGTTTAATGAGAGAGGAATCCATTGTGTCTTAGACTCTACCTTCACTGAAGTCTCCACCTTGAATCATGAAGTTTTTAACCACACGGTGGAATGTTGAACCTTTGTAGCAGAGCTTTTTTTCAGTTGTTTTTCCAATTCCTTTTTCACCTACAGGAAAGAAAAGTATGCATCTCTAGCTTAAATATTCCAAAGCAATATATCTTAGTTTCAAGCTGAACAGAAACACAAGGTGAGACACTAAACATTGTAAATAGTTACTTCAGCTTGCTAAATACTGTTATTTTTCCTCCTATATGCACCAGTACTCAGATATGCAGATACCACTCTAATGGCAGAATACACATGTTTTAAATAAATAATAAAGAGCTTCTTGATGAGGGTGAAATAAGAAAGTGCAAAAGTTGGCTTGGAACTCAACATCAAGAAAACAAAGATCATGGCATCCAATCCTCTCACTTCCTGGCAAATAGAAGGGGAAGAAATGGAGGTAGTGACAGATTTTATTTTCTTGGGCTCCAAGATCACTGCAGACGGTGATTGCAGCCAAGAAATTAAAAGACGTTTGCTCCTTGGGAGGAAAGATATGGCAAATCTAGACAGCATACCAAACAGCAAAGACATCACCTTGCCAACAAAAGTTCATATAGTCAAAGCTATAGTTTTCCCAGTTGTGATGTATGGCTGTGAGAGTTGGACCATAAGGAAGGCTGAGCGCCAAAGAATTGATGCTTTTGAATTGTGGTGTTGGAAAAGACTCCAGGGAGTCCCTTGGACTGCAAAGAGATCAAATCAATCAATTCTAAAGGAAATCAACCCTGACTGTTCTCTAGAAGGACAGATACTGAAGCTAAAGCTCAAATACTTCGGCCACCTAATGAGCAGGACTCAAGCTAAAGCTCAAATACTTCGGCCACCTAATGGGAAGGACTCAAGCTAAAGCTCAAATACTTCGGCCACCTAATGAGCAGGACTCAAGCTAAAGCTCAAATACTTCGGCCACCTAATGGGAAGGACTCATTGGAAAAGACCGTGATACTGGGAATGACTGAAGGCAAAAGGCGAAGAGGATGGCAAAGGATGAAGTAAATGAATGGAGTCACTGGTGCAGCAGGTGGGGGGCTGGATGGACTCTGGGGGATGGTGGAGCATAGGAGAGCCTGGCGTGCTGTGGTCCATGGGGTCGTGGAGGGTTGGGCATGACTTTGCAACTGAACAACAACAAACAATAGCAAAACAAGTTACCTGTACATAGGCAGAGAAAGTTTTTGCAGGTCTTTGGACAGACATCAGAGAAAAGTTGAAATATGATACGACCAACTGAAATAAGAATTAAAATATGATTACTTTCCAGTTCCGTTATATCTGGGCCAAATTGGTTAAATTTTCTTAATGACTCTACTGCTACATGTTCTTGGCAAGAAGCAACACAAACTATAAAATTTTAAATGTATCTGGATATTTGCCTACTCTTCACCACTCACTTCTGTATATCCCCACTGCTTCAAAGAGAGGATTTAATGGACCCCCGTTCTTCTCTTCCCTCAGGAGGGGAAAAAAACTAGAGTTAGAGTGTGCGGGCGTGCTTGGTGGCCCTGTTTCTCAGGTGATTGCTTATGTACAAATCTGATACTTTTGTATCTTTGAATAACTTAATACTGATTAAAAAACACAAGCAAGGCTCATCTAAGACTGACATGAGACAGAAACCGAGTCTAAGGAAGTATCCTTCCCAATTATTGTCTGTGCTAGCTGTCTTCTGATCTGGTGCCCTACAAGTGTTCTGGACTTCAGCTCCTATCTGCCACACTGAATGGCTGGATGTGCTGTGAGTTGCCCAAAACATCTTGAGGGCTCCAGGTTGGAAAAAGCAGTTTTAGGCCACATACTTTCTTCAACCTTTGAGGCTCACTATATAGTTTGTGCTTAAAGACCTCTTGGCATATCTGCACTTAATGGCAAAACAATCATTTTGCCCATTACCTTGTAAACTTGCATGTGCAACAGCTTAAGAGACTGTACAATTTGAGACTATCTGACATACAACCACAAACACATTCTTTTCTACTGAACAATCCCAGAGGAAGAATCTCATTTTACATCACCCTTCTGACTGGAAGATTTTCTGCCAAGTAGACACCATTAAAACTCTTATCATCCCTAAATGCTTTTTGCTCTTCAGCCAAGATGCTTCCTTTTTTATTAGTCTTAAAAAAAACAAACACACCCTGTACTATTAATAACCTACTGAAATGCAAAGCACAGGACATATCTCTTTCCTCCATCAACATTTTTAATTAACAACTAAATGTGAAGAACTATATACGGTGATCCGTACAAAGTTCCAATGCTGTATAGTTTGTGAAAAAATTTCCACACCATACATGCCTGCATTTATCTACAGTTGCCTGGGCTGCTGTACCGCAGTCGATCAAGTTAGATGGACTAAATGTAGGTTACGGACTGCTAAACATTATTCTTCAAAGGCAGGTATTGGCAAACCCTAGGCCTCTGGTGCCCATGGGGGAACCAGAAAATAAGGCAAGACAACCCCCTCCTGAGCACAGTGCAGTTGGCTCCTAGCTGAACTTAAACATGGCTTATTTATCTTCCATTGCTCAGGGTCTTTAATAACTAGTTGAAGGAAAGCTAAAACTGAAACCAAGGCTGGGGTTACCGTCTTGTTCGAGTATGCAAGAGTCGCAGGGCATCAGACCAAAGGCGAATCTAGTCCGGCAGAACGTTCACACAGTGGTCAGCCAGCTGCCCAGAGGATACCGCAAGCAGGACACAAGCCCAGCAGCACCCCCTGCCCAAGTTCCTTAACCGGTGCCCCCAAATCCACACCTACCCCTTAAAGAAACAATGTTTAACCAGATGTTCTGAATAATGAAACTGATAAGCAGTGCAGAGAGAGATGAAGCTGAAGGCGCTGCAGTTACCTCAACAATAACAAAAACACACGCTTGATCTACGATCTACCAAGCCCTTCCTTAAAACAGTTTCTTCTTTCAGGTATAATCATTTTTGTTAAGCATTAACAAATATCCTAAGGACACATATGCTACTGTTTTTACATGTTTACAAACATTACAATACAGTAAATTCTACATAAATTTGAATGTATTTGTATATAGCATTTGAACTATACTGTGTACTTAATTTCATTTTCCTCATATGCAAATATTTCAGTTCAAATACTGTAAAGTCCATTTTATACTGAACATAAAATTGACAGGGATTACATTTTTAGTCCTATTTAATAAAGACTATATATTTTGTGTGCTTGCTAAGGGGAAGTATGAGATGGGGAGTAAAGGAAAGCCAAATACACAGTAAATCAGGCATTATTTAGGGCAGTGAATTTTTTTCTAGTTCTGCTTTTTCCAGAAAACCAACATCACTGACTACGGTATTAAAAAAAATAAATTAAAAGCCTGTAGAAGCAGCACTGAAGTACAAGGAAGATCATGCCACAGAAGCACAGATGGTTTCTAAGACATGTTCAAGGCAATCCTGCCCATGCAGTAAAATCTTTAGATTTCCTTCCCCCAGTACTATCGGTAAAAGACATGCACATTCATCTACGAGAGAGAGGAGCTTCTCTGTGGTGGCCTCTTCAATTTGGAATGCACTCCCAAGGAAGTTTCGATTGCTTTATTTTTAGCACCTAGTCAAAACTTTCCTGTTACCTCTTTAAAATGTCCTGATAATGAGGAATTACTTGTCTGTTGAACAATTTTCATATCCTGAAATTGCACTGCTGCTATTATAAAGCAATTTATTTTTATAATAGTGTGTTTACTACTCAAGGATCCTTTGTGGATGAAAAAATAGCTCATAAATTTACATAAGTACAGAAGGGCCTCTCTTTGCCTCAATTCTGTGCCAGGTACTTCAGGTTGGGGGCAGTTCTTGCTGATGTAGAGTTTTTATACACAAAGAAGCTTGAATACTTCTAACTTTTACACATGTTTTCAACAATCAAGTCTGATAAACTACAATGCACTACGTAGCTTTTTCTTGGGGTTGGACACTATGAGGTAGCAATATTGAAACAGGGATAACCAAATTTTGCTACTTCTACTTCAGCCAATTACTTTTACTTTATCTAACCAGAGTACCCTTCCCAGGCCCATGCATCAGTTTTAAATATAGGCATACCACATTTTATTGTGCTTTGCTTTACTGAGCTTCCTACCAAATGAAGGTTTGTGGCAACTCTGCACTGAGCAAGTCTATCAGCACAATTTTTCCAATAGCATTTGCTCACTTCATGTCATTTTGGTAATTCTCACAATATTTCAAACTTTTTCATTATTATTATATTTGTTATGGTGATCTGTGATCAGTGATCGTTGACGTTACCTTTTTAATTGTTTTGGGGCACCACAAACCACACCCATATAAGACAGAGAACTCAAAGCTTTTTTTATAGATATAATGTTATTGCGGGTTTTATAGACTACCGTATAGTGTAAACATAACTTTTACATGCACTAGAAAACCAAAAAAATTGTGTGACTTGCTTTATTGCAATATTCATTTTATTGCAGTGGTCTGAAACTGAACCCGCAATATCTCCAAGGTATGCCAATATAAACTGCCTGTAATACCGCTAAAATTAGCACAATAATACATTATCTATTTATTTGCAAGAGACATCAAGAGCTTTCTGTTAAAACTGACATGAGAACAACACACAGTTCACCTATCACAAGAATTCATGGTTTGTTGAATTGCAGCTTGCGGTAAACGGAACCAAGAGCAAGGGCTGCTGGCTACTCCTGCTGAACTGAACAACCCATAGAAACTGTGGGCTCCTGTTCATGACAGTCAGACCCAGAACTGTGAATTGTTGGGGAAGAATAATCCAGTCATACTCTAAGAAACTTGCTCATCCTATCCCACTGAAACAGGTGAGGATTCAACAGAACTGCTAATTTACATATACACCATTACACTGTGCTGGAAGGAATAACTTAAGATACATATGTTAAAAGATGATCCATCCAGCCTTCCCTGAACCAAAAAGTGCCATAAACCTTGCCTAGCAGTGTATTTACTTTTTTTCCTACTCAGACTGTTCTGAGACAACCACCACCAGCTCCTCGTTTATTTACTGATACCACAATGCCAGGTGTACA